GAATGACTTTCATAAGTACGTCGCTGAGAATCTAGATAGTTCGGTTCAATTGACACCTGAACTGTCCACTCAGATTTGGAAAGAAAAAGTGGTAGGGGGGACACACAAGGGTAGATGATATGGTCTAGGCTCTCGCAAGGATGTTAGACGCCTTCAGTCAAGTTTAGAAGGTATTGGATCGTCACGTCAAGCTGAGGCACTTGACGGTGTTCAGATTGCTGTTATGTCGGATCAAATAACTAAACTTACAGCGGCACTAGCAGAGTCGGAGCGGAAAAGAGTAGCTGAATAACAAAGCATGAGTGAGACCGTTCAGAAAATCAAAGAACAAGTGATGAACCTCGCTCGTCGACCTACTACTTCGGCTCCCGATGACACCGACGACGAGAGTGATGAGTATGATTATGTAGATCTCACTCCCTAGTTTAGATCTCTGGACATTTATGAACTTTTTGAAATTTTAAAACAAATTTTAAAAGACTTTATAAGTCTTTAATTTATGATTTAGATACTTTTGAATGTTATTTTAAGTTTGTTATTTTATGTTTTGTTTAGACTGTTTATAATTGTGTGTGTTTGATTGGGTTAAATAGTGTAGAATTGAATTGAATTGAATTTGCAAGTGGGCAGCAGAAGCTGAGATCTGCTACTGTCAAAAATATTGCAGAAAAAGCGACGGACAGCGTGGTATAGTCTGTTACTTTTTTGGGTTTTAATTTTTTTAAAATCCTTGAAAAGCGACGGACAATGTGGTTTTTTCCGTCGCTTTTTTAGGTTTTTTTTTTAAAAAATTCCATAAAAGCGACGGACAACGTGGATTTTTCCGTCGCTTTTTTGGGTTTTTAAAAATAAAATTTCCAGAAAAGCGACAGACTGCGTCGCCCTTTAGAAATTTTAAAAAATGAAAATTAAAATAAAGCAACGGACTCCGTCGCTTTTTTAAAAAAATTCAAAAAAAAATAAATAGTCGAAAAGCGACTCAGTCCGTCGCTTTTTTAGCGACGCAGTCCGTCGCTTTTTGAAAAGTGTCGAGCTAAAAAGCGACGAAAGTGACTGCGTCGCTTTTTCGTCGATTTTGACCAAAAAAGCGACGCAGTCCGTCGCTTTTGGCCGTCGTTTTTTGACAATTTTTTAGTAGTGTATATATTGCTACCACATTCATTTTAGAGAATGGAGCAAAATCACATGTTTCAAAAAAATTCGTCAAGAGCACATTAATTTGCTCACTCATTATTATATCATCAATATATTGCATTGGGATTCGAATCAAGCACCTTTTCAATTTAAAATAAAGTTTATTGACATATTTAGTAGGTCTTGAACCCAACATCTTATCATCACAGTGTATCATGACTCAAATTTGATGTTTTAATTTATTAGTGTGATGGTGTTTGGATCCACCATCTTACATTCCTTCAATAAATAACATAATATGTCAAAGTATAGAAGGAGTTATCCATAAATCTTTAAAGTTCTTAGGGTCGTTTGGTTTGAATATGAGTTATGATAGGATAAGTTATGTTGAGATAAGTTATGTTGGGATTAGTTGTGATGAGATAAGTTGTCCTGAGATTATTTCTTATTGAGTGTTTGGTTTGTTGTATTCAAAATAATATATATTGATGAATTTTAAGAACAAGTTGTTTGTTTACAAAATTACCTTTCGTTTTATTTAAACTTTTTAAATTTTTCTTTGCGAGCTTTAGTAATTCATTTTTTAAAATAAAAATTTTATTTTATTTAACTTAAATATTTTTGTTTATGTATTTCCATGATAAGTACCATGTGTATTTAAAAATATAACTTTTTTCTTATTTAGTTTAAAAATAGAACTTCCCTCTTAAGTTTATTAAAGAGAAGAAAATTTATGAGAAATCAAAATAAAATAAACATAAGAATTAGTCAAATAAATTCATAAATAAAAATTATATTTATATAGTATAATTTTTTCATAGAAAAATATGTATAATTATCATAAAAATAAGGAGTAGTAAATATTATTATGCATGGTATTAAAAATAATGTAAATATACATAAATGTGAAAAATGATGTATAAAAAGGATTTAAAGGGATATATTTGTAATTTACCTATTCTATTCCGGGATAAGCTATCCCAAAATTACTATACCACCAAATATGAGGGTTAACTTATCCCGGCACTAATTCATAATTCTGCGATAAGTTATCTCAAGCTTTGCAACCAAACAACGAAATAAAAGATACTTAAAATTTATCCTAAGATTAACTCTCCTTATCTATCACACCAAACGATTATTACTTTATAAGTAGTCACAAGGGAATTAAGCATAAACAAAAATATGAATATACCAAAGAATCAGAAAAGGTAACAAGTCACTGAAAGAAATATTATTTTATAAATAAAATAAAATGTCAGAAGAGTGAAACAAAATCGTCAAACTCTTTCTGACACCAAGTTAGAATATTACTTATAATCATACACAAGTTCACAATCAATGTGTGTTGATTATGAGATGTCACATCACACTTTTTTTTACAAGTTCATGTATGTATTAGTAAGAGATTAGCAAATAAAAAAGCTTAAGTCATCGATGGCCCCTTAAAGTTGTCTGCATAATTCATTTAGACACCTTAATCAACACTAGTTCCTATTGAACACCTAAAATATACAAAATATTTACCTATTACACACAAAATAAGGATGTGACAATAAATGTGGATCTCACGTATGTTAAGCGCGTGAATAGATCCAAATAATATATTTTTTTGTTTTATTAAAAAACTTGGACCTTTTTTCTTTTATTGACACTTGGCAATAATGACTAATTTTTTTTAATTTAAAAATGATTTCTTAATCAGCAAAAGAAAGTAATAGTTTTCTTCTCCATTTTCTTTTTTGGTCAAACTTCTGCACTCCTTTCCTCCAACTTCTTCCTACATTTTCCGTTCTCAAACTTCTGTGTTTTTTTTCGTTCTTTATATATTAAGAAAACTGAATCTACGGATTAACTTTGTAAGAAGAAAGAAGATTTTGATATATGAGTTTAAAAAGTTGGGACGTCCGTCTATTTTCTATTTTCAGTCATGTTAAGCAAACATCGCCACTCAAATTAAAATATAAATCCATTAAATTTATTAAAGTGATATTAGAGAATTCTACAGAAATAACTTGAGTACTCTCGATTTCTCTTCGCCGTCGTTCACTAACGTTAATTTATTTTCCATAAACGTCACTCCGCTAAGCTACACATACGTCATAATATTTCACTATTTATATTATGTTTAATCCCATATTTATAATAAGAAGAAAAAAAATGGATCTTGCTGCAGGAGTTGAGAACAGAGTGACAGTGGTGAGCCGGGGAAAGAAGAAAGACCAAAGGGTTAGCTGGGTTGGGGACAATTTTTCTTTTTCTTCTTTTAGTTGATTAACATTTTGAATTATTAATGGTTGAAATTGTTTTTTATTTCTTAAAATTGAAAATTCATTTTTTATGATTAGATTGGACACTCCCCCCCTGCCTATGCCACATGTCATAGTTTTATTTATGACTCTTTTAAGACACAGCGTGAGAATCACACACACATTATCTTTAAAGTTATTTTCCATTTTGTGTTCAATAGATACATATTTATTAATATTAAAGTGTCTAATAAGTACTAATTCTAGTTAAGGTGTCTAAGTGAATAATGCAGACAACTTTAAGTGATCGTAGATGACTTAAGCCCAAATAAAAATGTGAGAAAAGGATGTTGGATAACTATGTCGGATCACATAATCCAACTACAATTGGTTCTCAAAATTATTGTTCCTTGAGATGCTCTTCAAAGAGTACTTTCAGTTCTAATATAAAGAAAAATTCGGTGTGAAGATCTTGAATGCAAGAGTGAGGCACTCAGGCCTTGGAGCTGATCTGTCAGTCCATCGTTACCATAAACCTCTACTTTGAAGTGAAACGGTTCACCAGTCACTACATCTGTAGATCCCACCAAATCATTAAATCTGGCAGCTGCTCGCTCTAATCATATAGTGTCAATAATTAGTTATAGATACAATAAACATTATTTTTTTTGGACTTAGCATGATAAATCACTTATTTCCTTAACATTTTGAATGTGAAATACAAAGATAATCATCTCATATTTGATAATCTTGATAGTCTGACATGAACAATAAATAATTCTTAGTGAAAAATTATCTAGAATTGAGGAAGCAAAACTCGTACATATTCATAACTGGAGTTCCTGGACAAAGATTAGTTAATCAATTACATATACCTTTAATTTTTGTTTCTCTGTAGGTTTAATGTAAAAGAAAATAATTTACTAAAGTCTTTTACTAAAATAATTAGAAATCATCTCAATTGGTTAGAGACTCATGTTAATAATATATTATTATAAAATAATAATGAGACAAACTAAATTAAGAAGCAGAAAGAAAGAGAACCATTCAAGTATAAAATAAGATGAATAATAGCAAAATTGAACTTAAATATTCTTTCACTTTTTGTTTCATTGTTGCCTATATCTCACTTAATACATTTCCAAGGCGATTTATAGCCAAGAAATGGAATTACTTGGTGAAACCTAAAATGAGTTTCTTGGACATCCACACCTTTCTTCAACAAACATATGTTGATTTTACTTAAATAGTACTCCCTCGTTTCATAATTACTTGTCCATTTTTTCCTTTTTAGTTGTCCCTAATTATTTTTCTATTTTGACAAATCAAGAAAGAATAATGTTTTTTTACCTAATATACCCTCAATTAAGTTTTTAATTCATTCACTTCATAATTAATAAGGGTAAAATGATAAACTCATTATGTTAATAATTTTTTTTAAATATTTGTGTTAATTCAAAAATTGAAAAGTAATTAAAGACAGAGGGAGTAACAAAATGGTTTAAAACTATTTTAACATTTTAAAAAAAAAACTTAAAATAAAAATAAGCTAATACAAACCGGGTGGCATTTTCTCATGTTTTGTAAACCCGCTCCGCTATCCATATGTCACTGCCCACTTCTATAAATTCCCAAATTCAAAGTGTTCACGAGAAGTTTCATCAAATTCTCTCAAAATCAAACTATTTCCATACCAGATCTGTTGTCGCTCCGATCTTCCAACTTGCTGGAATGCCGGTGAACTTGACGGCTAACGCGATCTCGGCGATCAACGCCGGTGACGTGAACTCAAAGCCAGTGGTTCAGGTATTGGACATCAAGTTAATCGGCACCACACAGGAACGGTACCGACTCACACTCTCCGATTCTGAGTCCACTCAGCAGGCTATGCTAGCTACTCAGCTCAATGACCGAGTCAAAACTGGCCGTGTTCGTAAAACCTCCGTCATTCAGTTGATTGAATACATCTGTAGCACTGTTCAAAATCGAAAGTATGAATTTATTATTTTCTTCCAGCTTCAATTATGAAACTCTATGTATGGTATAGTATATGTGATTACATTTGCTTCTACTTTTGATTGCATATAAAACTTGCAATATTTGCTTTATATTATGTCTTCTTATTTTACAAGGTCTTTCAATGTAAAATTGATAGATTTCGCTTTGTTTTTGTTGTTCGAAAATTTTATTAGAATGATGATGCCCTGTTAGAGAATTACTCCTTAATGATTTGGATGGTAAAAAAAACAGACATTCATTATGTTTTCTCCCATTTCCATTTTGGACACATTTGTGTTTCTCATTCATACACTAGTCATTTCGATTGTAACTTTGATAGATTTGGCTTGGATTTTGTTGTTTTGACCTTTAAATTGAATATTGATGTCATCGTAGAGAATTATGGCTTAGTCATTTTAATGAGTACTTTTATGCAAAATACAGTACATATATATAACTTCATTGTGTTTTCTCTAATTTTTCTTATATGTGCCTTTGCGTTATCATCCCTTTACAAGTCATTCCGAACATAAAGATAGATCTGGCTTTGATTTTGTTGTTTAAGCTAACGTTACAATTGATCCATCGAAGGAATTTATTTTTGTAATTGGTTCAATGTCCGAGAGTTATTCCATATAATTCGAGTATGCAGTGCAACATAACAAAACACAAGTTTCTTGTAAATATTTGTTTCATTTCTGGTTGGTCGTAATTTCTAAATGGTTTCTACATAGACTAGGGATTGTGTTGGACACATGAAACAGTTTTCCCTGTGGAAATTGCTGCACTGCCAAAGTTGTGTCATCTTTGCCTTGGTGTCATCTTGAGTTGGGTGCTGAAAATAGTTTCCCATAGATTAGAAGAATATGAAATTTCTGTGCATAAGGTACTGTATTAGGGGATTAAGCAAGTGTCTGATTTGTATTATAAGAGAGTAATATCTTATTTTTCCCTAGCAATCTGGATTATACTTTTGATTGGAACTTGGGCTGAGTTTTCATCTTGTTTCCTTGCAGAATCATTGTTGTCCTTAACATGGAAACTATTATACCAGAATGTGAAATAATTGGGAACCCGAAAGTGATTGTAGAATCTAATTTAGGAGCTCAGAAAACTACATCTAATGGAGCTTCTGGGTCTGCAAACTTGGGTAACAATGGTAACTTGAGTGCTCAAAGATCTGCCCAAGCAAGCTTTGCTAACATTAAAAATTTGAGTGCCCAAAATTCAGGTAATAGCATGCAGAACTATCCACCTGCAATTCAACCTGCATATCAACCTCCTCCAAATTACAAAAGCCATGGGGCAATCATGAAGAATGAAGCACCCGCCCGCATTATTCCAATTGCAGCATTGAATCCCCATCAGGGTCGGTGGGCTATTAAGGCTAGAGTGACTGCAAAGGGGGATTTACGTCGCTATAATAATTCTAGAGGAGATGGCAAGGTCTTCTCCTTTGATCTCCTTGACTCTGATGGGGGTGAAATACGTGTGACTTGTTTTAATGCTGTTGTTGATCGCTTTTATGACAAAATTGAAGCTGGAAAAGTGTACATGATATCAAAAGGCAGCTTGAAACCTGCTCAGAAGAGCTTCAACCATCTGAAGAATGAATGGGAAATATTTTTGGAGACAACTTCAACTGTAGATCTCTGTCCAGATGAAGATGCCTCTATACCAAGACAGCAGTTCTCATTTAGACCTATTTGTGAAATTGAAAGTGCAGAAAACAATTCAATCATAGATGTGATTGGAATTGTGACAGCAGTCAATCCTTCTGTTCCTATTCTGAGAAAGAATGGAATGGAAACTCAAAGAAGAATCTTGAATCTAAAGGATCAGTCTGGCCGAAGTATTGAGCTGACCTTATGGGGTGATTTCTGTAATAGGGAAGGTCAAAACCTGCAAGAACTGGCAGAAGCTGGGTTTTCCCCTGTTTTAGCTGTTAAAGCTGCAAAAGTTAGTAACTTCACAGGGAAATCCATTGGAACCATTTCTTCCACGCAACTGTTCATAAATCCAGATTCCGCAGAGGCTCAGACTCTAAGAGAGTGGTTTGATCAGGGGGGGAAAGACATTGCTTCTCAATCTATATCTAGGGACAACATGCCTGTAGGATCAAAAATTGAGACACGTAAGACTGTCTTTCAGATCAAAGATGAAGGGCTTGGTAGGTCAAAAAAACCAGACTGGGTTACAGTTAAGGCAACCATAACATTCATCAAAACTGACACTTTCTGTTATACTGCTTGCCCTTTGATGATTGGAGACAGACAATGTAATAAGAAAGTTACCAGATCAGGAAACTCCAGATGGCAATGTGATAGGTGTAATCAAGAGTTTGAGGAATGTGATTACAGATACCTTCTTCAAGCTCAAATTCAAGATCATAGTGGGTTGACATGGGTGACAACTTTCCAGGAATCTGGCGAAGAGATTTTAGGCTGTCCTGCGAAGGAGCTGTACATGATGAAATATGAAGAGGCTGATGATACCAGATTTTCTGAAATTATTAGAAACTGTCTCTTCACACAATTTCTGTTCCGGCTAAAAATCAAAGAGGAATTTTATGGTGATGAGCAGAGGGTGAAAATTACAGTTGTCAAGGCAGAGAAAGTGAACCATTCTGCAGAAAGCAGATATCTCATTGATTTAATTTCAAAATTCCGTCTTTCTTGAACAAAGGAAGCCATGATAATAGATTCTTATTGTGTCCATCTTTAGGCAATCCATTGTCCGTCTTTTCAGAGAGATTTAGGTAGAAAGTCAATTGATTTAGTAAGGTGATTATTCTTTTCATTGCCATAGAAAGGTATATTACTTGCATTCTTGGTTAGAAATCCCACTTACTGGTCTAATGTAGCTTTAGTATCCATTTCATTTGGAAGGAAGACGGTCTCACCCCTTCCTGTGAGTTGAATTTGCAGTACAATTCATTAGCTTCATCTACAAGGACAATCTTTTTTATTGATTTAGTTAATCTCTCACCATACCCTCCACCCCCAAAATTCATCCTCCACGTCCAACAGCGGTGCTGCTCACTTTTGCTTTCTTGTGAGTTGTAAGTGAATTCTCAACTTGGATGGAATAATCTTTCAAGTGTTCTTATTTTAGATGTATGAAATGGAATTGTTTTTCAATTGTTCTTATTTTATAATATAAAATTTGGATTCCGAGTTGGGAGAAGGAAACTCATCTTTACGTCTGTTGGGAGACATTATCAATATTTGCATTTGCTGGATTTTTTCAGCTATTATGATAAACGCAGCTTGCCTCTTCATGAGTAAACAAGTCATCCACAGGTTTATGAGTCTTAGCTATTGCTATGGCTCAACTGTTAGTTACATGTTTCCTTAGATAGGTGATGCGAAGAAATAAGCTAAAATAAAGAAATCTGAGCTAAGAAATGATAGTTATGTAAACATTTTATTGATCTTGACAGGAAACATGAGATAGATACAAGAAGAGAGTTGAGAATAATGCTTGTTAAGTCCGTTTGACAGGATCAAAATTGGAAACACCAATTATAGCACCAAGAATTGCAGCAAGCACAACTCCACCTGCAGAAATGCTGAGCAAAAAGTTCTTGAGGGACGGTGAAACACCCTCAGCTGCTTCGGCTACGTCGGGAATGACCATGGAAGCAGTGAGTGCAGCTGCTGTCAATCCTGTCAAAGCTTTCTCCTTAAGGGAAGCATTCACTTGAAACTTTGCTACTGGTTTTGATGCTGAAGTAGTCCTTGAGGGCCTTAATGGCAATGGCTTCAAGAAAGCCTCAACTCTTGGTTGTCTCTTGTGACTTGTGTAAGTCAGTGGCATTGCCATGGAAACTGCACAAGTAGAAGCCATAATTTGCCTGTCTTGTTAGGTCTGTGTTGAATGAAAGTGTGGTTCTCTATTTGTTAATTGGTGAGTAGTTTTGAGAGGAAAAAGATTGAGATGATCCAGAAAGGCTTTTCTATGAGAGGTGGAAAATGGATCAATTGCTACCACCTAATCTGCTTATGTGGCTCATTCTACTTGGCTCTCATGGATAAGGTTATCTCAGATTCTGATTGCAACTGTTAAATAGCTTTTACCTGAGGGAAAACCCAAACTGCGCTTATTACATTGGAATTCTTTGGATATATTATATAAAAGGGAAAAGATTCAATTATGCCATCCAACTTTCAGAAAAGACTTATTTCTGTCATTCGTTAAAAGTTTAGCTCATCTATGTCATTATTGTTAAATAAAAGGTTCATCCATGTCTTCTTCTTAACTCCGGTTTTACAAATTCACATTTTACACCCCAAACAAGGTTTAACACTTTTCAATTGAAGTTTTTGGATCAAATGTACTCTTTTTGCTTGTTCTTCCTTAAGAACACATGAAGAACATAAATAACTCCAAAATTTTCAACATATTCAATTCTTCACGAAATCATCTGAAATTTTCAAATTTCGACTACATCATTAATTTTTTTTAAAAATCCAAATTCAAAAATCATTTGGAGAGTATAACAATTTCACCCGTATTAAAAAAACTATTCCAAAAAAGCAAAAATCAATCCCAAAATTTCAAAATTTTGCTCTGATTTGTGTTTTTGTAATTGTTTTTGACATTCGATCTTTGTTCTCTAGTGTTTTTTGAGTCTATGTTCAAAATTTCAAATGATTTGAAGTTGTGGAAAAAGTTCAACCATTAAAGAATGTTGAAGTTTTGAAACTTCGAAGAAATTTCAAGTGAGTCCTGAGTTAGATTGAATTTGGCCTCAAAGGATATTGAGTTTTGGTATCTAGCTCGGAGGATGACTAATCTTGAAATTTGAGGTGATTTTGTGAAGAATTGAATATGTTGAAAATTTGAGAGTTGTTTATGTTCTTCATATATTCGTAGTGTTCTTAAAGAAGAACAAGCAAAAGAGTACATTTGATCCAAAAACTTCAACTGAAAAGTGTTAAACCTTGTTTGGGGTGTAAAAAGTGGTTATGCAAAATTGGAGTTAAAAAAATGGCATGGATGAATCTTTTCTTTAACAACAATGACATAGATGAACCAAACTTTTAACATATGACATAAATTATGAGCCTTATCTAAAAGTTCGATGGCATATTTGAGCCTTTTTTCTATATAAAATCAGACTCATAATTATCGAAATATAGTAGTATCTTCTTTTCAAAAGTATATTAAACCACACTTCGAATTTTATTTACCTCTTTAAATTTCCTTCATAATTTCATGTATAAATTCTATGAAATAAAAATGTAAACAATGAGTAGTCAAAGTGGGACTGCGTGGAACTCCACTCTTTTAAGGAAAGCTACTATCATTACAAATTAATATCTTGAGGTTTGCTTTTTTTTTTTAAAAAAAAAATTTAATTGGTGGAGCTAAGAGCTCCTTTATTTCAATCAATCTGAATATTTACAAGCATAGACCCAAAAAAATAGGCCCAAATAAAAGCTGAAAACAAAAGCATTAACTAATGGGTCCAATTCAAGTGGAAAAGGCATAGCATAAAAGATCCCTAAATGATAGAATTTCCTAATTGCCTCCTCATCACTCTTCTGCCTCTTTCTTCACCGTGTTCTTCACAGGATCTTTGAGGAACAATGCTTTGCTTATCCTTATGTTGTGGGTTATAGATGTTAATCTCCTGCTCTTCTTCCCTCTCTTCATTCGTAGCTTGCAGAAGTAAGTGTTCTTCCCTCTTCAATTCTCTGTTGTAGTGACTTTCTCCCTTTATGATATCCTCTCCATTTGTATTGGTATACTCCGGTGGATGCATAGGACTACATCTCTTTTCAGTTGAAGCACATACGTTCTCAGTCTGGTTCCTATCTGATTCCGTCAACAATCGCATCACACCTTCCCCGAATCTGATTTGACAAGCCTCATTTTTGCTGGTGGAGCTTTTTTTGTAAGCTGTCATAGCTAGTTCTAGGTAGCTTTGTTTGATTCATAGTATGTATGTCCCTATGATGGCAATTGTTGTACAAGCATAGCTGTGTTCTTCTGTTAATTTTCCTGATGTGTTGCCTGGACTGTTATCTTCCTTGTTTTAATCAGTATTGAAGGGATTTCTGCTTTATCCATGTTCATAATTCCTCTACATTCCACTGATAGCTGTTGAAATGTATGAATTTGTATTGCATTTATTTACTCATCACATGCTTCATTTGCCAATTTATCCACTAGTTTATTAGCCTCTCTAAAAACACGTTGTATCTGTGCTTGTGTAGATGCAAGTAACTCTTATATTTCCTGTATTTCTGTATCTGTTGCCATGGGACCTTTCAGTTGTTTCACACCATATTTGTGACACTTAATGAGTCTGTCTCCATAATGTAATTTCTGAAATTATTTGTCTTGCAATGCCTGATGCTCTAATAATTGCAATAGTTTCTACCTCCATATTAGTCTTAATCCCCAGTCGCTCCGCCTCCACATATACAATATCACCTATGTCATTCCTTAGACAGAAAGCATAGGCACTTTCCCCAGGATTCCCCCTGCTAAATCCATGTGTATTGCATTTTAATGCACCTCTATAAGGTTTCCTCCAGCACACTATACAATAATGCAATCTGAGTTTGTACTCCCTAAGTACTCTGACTATCTCCCCCCATTCTCTAGGAACTTTAATCCATGGATATTTCATTTTTATTAGCTGAACAATAGTGTTACACGCTGATTCTTCAACTTAAAAAAAATGATAAGTGTCTGAAAAATATCTCAACTTTAGTCGGATTTGCTGTTGCGATACTAAACTTTCATAAGGACCTATTACCTCTCTAGATTATTTAATACCGTATTTTTTACCCCTTGAACTATTTAATAGTGTATTTTAAAGGCATATATGTGCCCACATGAACACATTACTATTTATAATTTTGCATTATTTTTTATGTCCACGTGGGCAAATATATATGTTTAAAATACGATATTAAATAGTCTAGGGAGGTAATAGGTCTTCATGAAAGTTTAGTATCGCAACAGCAAATCCGACCAAAGTTGGAGTATTTTTTAGACCCTTATCCTTTAAAAAAACTGATATCCATACCATATCTTCTTGCATTTCTCCGTTTCCACAATTCCCATATTATAATGCTTGGTATTGCTTGGAACACGAATTTCACTTTGATAGGAGTGTTTGCTTCCCACCATTCTGTTATCATTTGTTTCAAATTTTCTTGCTGTGAATACCTGCACATGAAGCAAACTTCCTCCACAGCTTTTGGGCTATGGAAGCTATTAGAAAAAAATGTGTATTCTCCTCTTCAAAAACATCACAACAATAACATCTCGAGGCTATAACAATTCCCATCCTTTTCAGATTTTCCTCCGTTGCAATTCTGCCCCATCAAATCCTCCATATTAGAAAATTCATCTTAAAAGGTATTTGCTTGCCCCATAAATTATTCCTCCATTCCTCCTTTTCTTTTCTACGTCTCAGCAATTCAAATGTTGATTTGACTGTAAATTCCCCACTTGTATTTCCCATCCACCAAGGTTTATCCACCTCCTCCACTAGATGTGGATGAATGAATTCAATAATATACTCCATCATTCCTTCTGATATTAAATGTCCCAGCTTTTGAACATTCCACTCCCCATTTGTGATGAAATTTTTCACCTCTATTTCATCCTCCCCGACTCTATGGTCCTCTAAAGAATATAAAGCTCCTTGCTTTGTCCAATTATCAAACCAAAAACTCATTTCTCCCGATTTGAGTTGCCACCAAATGTTGTGGTCAACTTCTTCCCTTTACTCGACCATTCTTTTCCAAGCATGAAAAGCCCCTCTACTTGTGGCCAATACCGGATGCTGTTTCTTACAATATTTCGCCCACATATATGTACTCCACAAAGAGGTAGAGGTTTTGAAATTCCACCATAACTTACTATATAGTGCTTTCGATACATCATATAACGATCTCACACCTATTCCCCCTTCTGCTTTAGGATAACATAATTCTTTCCAAGCTA